AACTAACTTGTGTCTTTATGTTCACAGTAAATAGGATGAACATCTTCAAACGAAAACGAGATTCTAAAGAACAGGAACTTATAGATACACAAAGGGAGCCTAAAAAGCTGAGAACTGTTGTTTCACTTGTGAGAAAAGTTGGGGACACTGTGAAACAGAAGTTGAATGTGGCTCTGAAGGCACTAACATCGAGAACATATTCACAGGATGTAAAGTCAATCTTATTCACCACCCCTGCTGGCCCAATGAGGTCTGCAAGATACATCATGACACCAGCAGTTCCATTCAGTGCTGCAAAGTCATCTCTTGAATGGAGGTATGTTAGCAAGGTATTTGCAATGCGCTAGGTTTACTCGGAGGGGAGGTGCAATGCGCCAGGTTTACTCGGAGGGGAGGTGCAATGCGCCAGGTTTACTCGGAGGGGAGGTGCAATGCGCCAGGTTTACTCGGAGGGGAGGTGCAATGCGCCAGGTTTACTCGGAGGGGAGGTGCAATGCGCCAGGTTTACTCGGAGGGGAGGTGCAATGCGCCAGGTTTACTCGGAGGGGAGGTGCAATGCGCCAGGTTTACTCGGAGGGGAGGTGCAATGCGCCAGGTTTACTCGGAGGGGAGGTGCAATGCGCTAGGTTTACTCGGAGGGGAGGTGCCCTCCTCTGATTAGAGCCAATCTTAGTTTCTTTACCCGTGCCTTCGCATGAAGTTCAAATATGATCTGTCTCATCAATGATCTGATGAAAAAGGAAAAAATAAGGAAGTGTTTTTCTTGAAAGCAAAGCATCTCATATTGACCTTACTCTTATTAAGTAACCTTTTTTATCTACCATAATTGGACCCTTTTTGAGATATCAGCTTTACCTTTATCTATATCACAACTCAAATCTCTAGCCAGAAAATGCTTCACCCCTTGCTAGTGGCATCTCTTTTTGGTCTACCATAAGAAATGGACCTTCTTTCAAGTAGTCTAATCTACACCCATGTTATCAATGAAGGAAGAATGTTTAACTTTCACAGTCAACCTCTGAACCCTAGGGTATACATGTCAGAGAAACTTGATCATCCACAAGTGTTACTGAGTCTGCCATCCTTTGATGTAATATTTGGCCAATTGTCCTTTTCCTCTCTACTGCGAGGATTGTGCATCATACGTGTCCTTTTCCTGCTACCCATTATATGATTTACGGCAATTGAAAAAGAGTTGTGTTCAGGGCCATGTGCATACTTAATATAAAGTTTGAAATAGCAACCAAGAAATAATTAAAATTAAAAACAAACTGAGATAATTTAATAAAATATTGATTTGATTTTGTATGTCATAGTTCTCATGAAGCTGAAATTTTTAAAAATGGAATCAGTGAGTGTACTCTGTTTTCCTTTATAGGAACCATTCTTACTATGTTTTAGACAGCACCATTAGTGTGACAGAGAGCCATCATCATGAGTTTAAAACTGGTGGAGGAAGCTACCCAATTACAATACTACCAGAGGTAACATAATCAAATATCAGTAACAATGGCCACTCTCTGGAAGGAGCCACACTGGCTCACCCAATTTTTAGATATAGAAAAAGATTGTTCCATATCCGCCATATTGACAACATTTAAACAACCCAAGGAAGACCAGTAAAACTAGTCGAAACGTCGGTTTTAAAGATATTTTAACCTCAGAAAATCCCAGAAACTATTAAAAAAATTTTAGTTTTTACAAAAATGGGAGGTGAAAGTGTCAGGAATACGATTAACTAAGTAGAATGCAAATTTTATCCCCTCTTTCTTCCTGGGGTGAGAATCTCTAGTTTATTTAAGAGGTTTAGAGCAAGACCAGTTGAAGTTTGTAATTAGTGATTGTTTGTTTGTTTTTGAATTTAGTAATCTTTAGTACTCTCAATGATGTAACTCCATAATGATGTTCTTAGACCCACTTTACCACCATACATAATTTCTTTAACTTACAGCATATTCAGAAGTATGGAAGTGCTTTTTTGAACACAGATGGTGGTGTACTTATTGCAGGAGTCCTCGACAATGGTAAGAGACACATATGTCCCTCATGGAAGGAGGAAAACAGTTATTGAAATGAAAGCATCAGTTTCTTGTTGAGGGAAATGCATATGCATGAGCTGACTGCAGATAGATGAATTAGTTTTAAAAAAATGCCATACATTATACAATGTGTAAATTATCTGGGTTTTGTGATTATTAGATTATCATTTAGACTGATATGTTATGGCAGAAATATTATTTATTACACGACTTGGGCAGTCAGAGGGCCAATAACTAAAATCAACCAATCAAAATGCTCTATTGCCGGTCAATAATCTCTCAGTATTGGACTGGGCACTGTTCCGAATGGTCCCAAATGATACCGCACTTGTGTCCCTTTGAACTTCAGGCGTATAATAAATCTCTTATTAACCAAGCTTGCTTGGGACCATACTGGAAGAATATCGGCCCTGGGTCT